TTTACGGTAGATCGTAAAAGTGAAAAAAAAAAAAATTAAATATAGAAAGTTTTATTTATCCAAAATCAAGGGCATTTATGTAATTGACTTTAATTGAAATATTTGGTAACCCCATTTTATAAATGGCTTGCTAATTAAATGTTCAATTTAAAGCCATATAAATATAATTATAAAGTCTTGCAAATTAACTACACATGATGTTATTTTTCTGGACCAATTGTTAAATATTTTTTAACAATTTTGAAATTAATTTGATAGTTTAACAGGGTGAATATTTCATGTTAATTCAACTTGGCAAGTTTGCACAGTATTTCTTAAAGCTATTGGTTGGAGGAAACAGTAGTTTCAAGTAATTTTCTATCGAATAATTCTTAAATATTCAAATTACTTTCCCATATTTAACGCTTAATGATACCTCATAAAAAAGTTTATTTTAAACTTGATCTAATTTCATTACTTTTACAACTCCCAGTATGATGAAATAAACAGTAAAACTAACATAATACGTATAAGTGCGAGCACACTGTCAGTTTTTATTACACACAGAGTAGAGTACCCAGTAATAAAAACCAGATTGTGTTAAGGGGGAAATTTTTTTTATTAATATTTTGTCAAATATTGACATATCTATTAAAGTTTGTTTTGATACTATTTTTCCTCAAGTATTTTTATAATTATAAACAAAAAACAAAGAAATTTTTTAGAACATTTTTTTTTAGCAATAAAAGTGTTAATAAATAATAAAATAATAATAATTATGTGCTAAAACTTAAATAAAAACAAGTAAGAAAGTATAGTCGGGCGAGGCCGACCATATGATACCCTACACCAGTTATGAATATTAAATGTGATTTATTTTTCATAGTAAAGCATTTATTTTCAATATTCCCTTGTTCCGATACATTTAAGCAATTTATGGATGAAAAACTAATTTTCTGAAAGATGCTTTATATGGGGGCTAGGGGCAAATATGGACCAAGCCCGATAAAATTTTGTGAATATATTTATATTTACATAATATTTTATTGTGCTGAATTTCATCGCGATATTTGTGTTTATAAGTTAATTTGGGACATTCAAGTAATTTTCTGAAGGGGACTTTGTATGGGAGCTAGGGTCAAATGGGGCCCGATCTTTATGAAATTTGGCAGGGTCATCAAGACTTCTATAAAACTTAGTTGTGCCGTATTTTATCGATATATCTGTATATTTAACATAATTATGAGCTCAGAAGCCCTTTTCGGGGGGTTCTGTTCTATGGGGGCTAGGTGAAATAATGGACCGATTTTAACCATTTTCAATAGGCTTCGTCCTTGGGTCAAATAAAACGTGCGTGCCAAATTTCATCCAATTATCTTGAAAATTGCGACCTGTAGCTTGCGCACAAGGTTTACATGGACAGCCAGCCAGCCAGCCAGCCAGACGGACGGACGGACGGACGGACGGACATAGCTTAATCGACTCAGAAAACGATTCTAAGCCGATTGGTATACTTTAAGGTGGGTCTAGGACGAATATTTTTGTATGTTACAAACATCAGCACAAATCCAATATACCCTCCCCACTAAAGTGGTGTAGGGTATAACAAAACCCATTTTTACGCTATATTTCTAATCTTGGTTATTGGTGTGTTTACGAGGTTAGAGTGAGAAGTTTATGATAATTATTTTAAAGAGATAATTGTGATAGGTGCCATTATAAAAAAAGGTAATGATATATTTCCTATTGAAATTCATCGTTAGCTCAAGAGTTTTATAGTCAGTTCAAAACTTTTGTCCATAGTCTAGTCTATAGAATAGTCTAAAGTCTAGTCTATAGTCTAGTCTATAGTCTAGTCTATAGTCTAGTCTATAGTCTAGTCAGTCTATAGTCTAGTCTATAGTCTAGTCTATAGTCTAGTCTATAGTCTAGTCTATAGTCTAGTCTATAGTCTAGTCTATAGTCTAGTCTATAGTTAGTCTATAGTCTAGTCTATAGTCCTAGTCTATAGTCTAGTCTATAGTCTAGTCTATAGTATAGTCTATAGTATAGTCTAGTCTATAGTCTAGTCTATAGTCTAGTCTAGTATAGTCTAGTCTATAGTCTAGTCTATAGTCTAGTCTATAGTCTAGTCTATAGTCTAGTCTATAGTCTATAGTCTAGTCTATAGTCTAGTCTATAGTCTAGTCTATAGTCTAGTCTAGTATGTCTAGTCTATAGTCTAGTCTATAGTCTAGTCTATAGTCTAGTCTATAGTCTAGTCTATAGTCTAGTCTATAGTCTAGTCTATAGTCTAGTCTATAGTCTAGTCTATAGTCTAGTCTATAGTCTAGTCTATAGTAGTCTATAGTCTAGTCTATAGTCTAGTCTATAGTCTAGTCTATAGTCTAGTCTATAGTCTAGTCTATAGTCTAGTCTATAGTCTAGTCTATAGTCTAGTCTATAGTCTAGTCTATAGTCTAGTCTATAGTCTAGTCTATAGTCTAGTCTATAGTCTAGTCTATAGTCTAGTCTATAGTCTAGTCTATAGTCTAGTCTATAGTCTAGTCTATAGTCTAGTCTATAGTCTAGTCTATAGTCTAGTCTATAGTCTAGTCTATAGTCTAGTCTATAGTCTAGTCTATAGTCTAGTCTATAGTCTAGTCTATAGTCTAGTCTATAGTCTAGTCTATAGTCTAGTCTATAGTCTAGTCTATAGTCTAGTCTATAGTCTAGTCTATAGTCTAGTCTATAGTCTAGTCTATAGTCTAGTCTATAGTCTAGTCTATAGTCTAGTCTATAGTCTAGTCTATAGTCTAGTCTATAGTCTAGTCTATAGTCTAGTCTATAGTCTAGTCTATAGTCTAGTCTATAGTCTAGTCTATAGTCTAGTCTATAGTCTAGTCTATAGTCTAGTCTAGTCTAGTCTATAGTCTAGTCTATAGTCTAGTCTATAGTTTAGTCTATAGTCTAGTCTATAGTCTAGTCTATAGTCTAGTCTATAGTCTAGTCTATAGTCTAGTCTATAGTCTAGTCTATAGTCTAGTCTATAGTCTAGTCTATAGTCTAGTCTATATTCTGGTCTATAGTCTAGTCTATAGTCTAGTCTATAGTCTAGTCTATAGTCTAGTCTATAGTCTAGTCTATAGTCTAGTCTATAGTCTAGTCTATAGTCTAGTCTATAGTCTAGTCTATAGTCTAGTCTATAGTCTAGTCTATAGTCAATAGTCTAGTCTAGTCTAGTCTATAGTCTAGTCTATAGTCTAGTCTATAGTCTAGTCTATAGTCTAGTCTATAGTCTAGTCTATAGTCTAGTCTATAGTCTAGTCTATAGTCTAGTCTATAGTCTAGTCTAGTCTATAGTCTAGTCTATAGTCTAGTCTATAGTCTAGTCTATAGTCTAGTCTATAGTCTAGTCTATAGTCTAGTCTATAGTCTAGTCTATAGTCTAGTCTATAGTCTAGTCTATAGTCTAGTCTATAGTCTAGTCTATAGTCTAGTCTATAGACTAGTCTATAGACTAGTCTATAGTCTAGTCTATAGTCTAGTCTATAGTCTAGTCTATAGTCTAGTCTATAGTCTAGTCTATAGTCTAGTCTATAGACTAGTCTATAGACTAGTCTATAGTCTAGTCTATAGTCTAGTCTATAGTCTAGTCTATAGTCTAGTCTATAGTCTAGTCTATAGTCTAGTCTATAGTCTAGTCTATAGTCTAGTCTATAGTCTAGTCTATAGTCTAGTCTATAGTCTAGTCTATAGTCTAGTCTATAGTCTAGTCTATAGTCTAGTCTATAGTCTAGTCTATAGTCTAGTCTATAGTCTAGTCTATAGTCTAGTCTATAGTCTAGTCTATAGTCTAGTCTATAGTCTAGTCTATAGTCTAGTCTATAGTCTAGTCTATAGTCTAGTCTATAGTCTAGTCTATAGTCTAGTCTATAGTCTAGTCTATAGTCTAGTCTATAGTCTAGTCTATAGTCTAGTCTATAGTCTAGTCTATAGTCTAGTCTATAGTCTAGTCTATAGTCTAGACTATAGTTTAGTCTATAGTCTAGACTATAGTTTAGTCTATAGTCTAGTCTATAGTCTAGTCTATAGTCTAGTCTATAGTCTAGTCTATAGTCTAGTCTATAGTCTAGTCTATAGTCTAGTCTATAGTCTAGTCTACAGTCTAGTCTATAGTCTAGTCAGTCTAGTCTATAGTCTAGTCTATAGTCTAGTCTATAGTCTAGTCTATAGTCTAGTCTATATTCTGGTCTATAGTCTAGTCTATAGTCTAGTCTATAGTCTAGTCTATAGTCTAGTCTATAGTCTAGTCTATAGTCTAGTCTATAGTCTAGTCTATAGTCTAGTCTATAGTCTAGTCTATAGTCTAGTCTATAGTCTAGTCTATAGTCTAGTCTATAGTCTAGTCTATAGTCTAGTCTATAGTCTAGTCTATAGTCTAGTCTATAGTCTAGTCTATAGTCTAGTCTATAGTCTAGTCTATAGTCTATAGTCTAGTCTATAGTCTAGTCTATAGTCTAGTCTATAGTCTAGTCTATAGTCTAGTCTATAGTCTAGTCTATAGTCTAGTCTATAGTCTAGTCTATAGTCTAGTCTATAGTCTAGTCTATAGTCTAGTCTATAGTCTAGTCTATAGTCTAGTCTATAGTCTAGTCTATAGTCTAGTCTATAGTCTAGTCTATAGTCTAGTCTATAGTCTAGTCTATAGTCTAGTCTATAGTCTAGTCTAGTCTAGTCTATAGTAGTCTAGTAGTCTATAGTCTAGTCTATAGTCTAGTCTATAGTCTAGTCTATAGTCTAGTCTATAGTCTAGTCTATAGTCTATAGTCTAGTCTATAGTCTAGTCTATAGTCTAGTCTATAGTCTAGTCTAGTCTATAGTCTAGTCTATAGTCTAGTCTATAGTATAGTCTACTCTTTAGACTATAAACCAGAAAATTTTCAAAAATTTCTTTAAAAGCTGAAATTATAAAAAATTTTAGAATTTTATTATCAATTTTTGAACTAAATTTTAAAAGTGTCTTTAAATTTTTTTTGCAGATTTTAAAAAATCATCTTAAAACAACACACACACACGCACAACATGACAACACCCCACGAGAATCCCGCCTTTGTTGGTGATGATGGACGAGGGGTCCCAAGTAAAAATAATGTAGAAGTGGGACGCATTACTAGCACAGATAATGCTATACCGCCTAAAGATAAACCCATGCCCGAACGTGATACCTGGGGTAAAGGTATTGAATTTTTACTCTCCTGCATAGCCATGTCCGTGGGTTTGGGCAATGTCTGGCGTTTTCCCTTCACCGCGCTCGACAATGGTGGTGGAGCGTTTCTGATACCTTATCTAGTGGTGTTGTTTCTAGTAGGTAAACCGATTTACTATTTAGAAATGATTATAGGACAATTTTCGAGTAGAGGATCTGTTAAGGTATTCGATTTGTGTCCGGCAATGAGAGGTAAGTTAAAGAGTTATAATTTCTCAAAAACATAAAAAAAATCATTTGTCTTTTGTCCGGAATGTTGTCTAAACTATTGTTCTATCTTTCCATAATTTTCCATAAACATTTTGTGCAACGTCCTTCTTCACTTTATGTGGCTTTTGTGTAATTTGTCTTGAAATGCTTAGGCGTTGGCATTGGTCAGATTGTCTCCATTTCCATGGTGACCACTTACTATGTGGCCATTATGGGCATGACTGTACGTTATTTGTTTGAATCCTTTAAATCACCTTTACCCTGGACTGAATGTAGAGATTCATGGAATGCTGTCTGTGTAGCCTCTGCAGAGGTTAATACTGCTGAAATTTTATATAGTGCCACTGATAATTTGACCAGCACTACCCTCCCCTCTATCATATCGAATGTATCATCTGTCATTTTGAATAATGTCACAAGTCTGAGTAGTGTTAAACCTAAATCTTCAGCTGAATTGTATTTTATGTAAGTTTTTGTTTTTGTCTCGAAATCGATGAATGAGAAATTTGTGATTTAGTTTTAAAGTATTTTTTGTTAACTGCATGTTTAGTTGTAATCACGTTCTAATAACTTTTTATTTAAATTTATGTGCATTTTTATTTGATAATGTTTTAACATTTTTATTGTAATATTTTGGAAACTAATTTGTAAGAAAAACTATTTTACTAACATTCACTTTTTGTTATTATTTCATATCTGTTTTAGAAACATCTTTGAAGTCATTTAAAAAGTCAAGTTATCTAATCTTGCCTTTTTAATTTATATAAAATTTGAGTGGACATTTATCAGTTATAACTAGATATCGGAAATACCCTATTTCCGTGTGTAGTATAGTGTAGTTAAATACTATTGAATACACTATAGACTAGTCAATAAACTAGACTATAGACTAGACTACAGATTAGACAATAGACTAGACTACACTATAGATTATAATGTAGACTACTAAAGACTAGACTGTAGAATATACTATAGACTAGACTATAGACCAGACTATAAACTATACTATAGACCAGACTGTAGACTATAGACCAGACTACAGACCAAATTATAGACTAGACCGCACTATATATTAGACATAATACTAGACTGCAGACTAGACTATAGACTAGACTATAGACTAGACTATAGACTAGACTATAGACTAGACTATAGACTAGACTAGACTATAGACTAGACTATAGACTAGACTATAGACTAGACTATAGACTAGACTATAGACTAGACTATAGACTAGACTATAGACTAGACTATAGACTAGACTATAGACTAGACTATAGACTAGACTATAGACTAGACTATAGACTAGACTATAGACTAGACTATAGACTAGACTATAGACTAGACTATAGACTAGACTATAGACTAGACTATAGACCTAGACTATAGACTAGACTATAGACTAGACTAGACTATAGACTAGACTATAGACTAGACTATAGACTAGACTATAGAACTAGACTATAGACTAGACTACAGACTAGACTACAGACTAGACTATAGACTAGACTATAGACTAGACTATAGACTAGACTATAGACTAGACTATAGACTAATAGACTAGACTATAGACTAGACTATAGACTGGACTATACTAGACTAGACTAAAGACTAGACTATAGACTAGACTATAGACCTAGACTATAGACTAGACTATAGACTAGACTATAGACTAGACTATAGACTAGATTATAGACTAGACTAGACTAGACTAGACTATAGACTAGACTATAGACTAGACTATAGACTAGACTATAGACTAGACTATAGACTAGACTAGACTATAGACTAGACTATAGACTAGACTATAGACTAGACTATAGACTAGACTATAGACTAGACTATAGACTAGACTATAGGACTAGACTAGACTACAGACTAGACTATAGGCTAGACTATAGACTAAACTATAGACTAGACTATAGACTAGACTATAGACTAGACTATAGACTAGAATATAGACCTAGACTACAGACTAGACATAGACTAGACTATAGACTAGACTATGACTAGACTATAGACCTAGACTATAGACTAAACTATAGACTAGACTATAGACTAGACTATAGACTAGACTATAGACTAGACTATAGACTAGACTACAGACTAGACTATAGACTAGACTATAGACTAGACTATAGACTAGACTATAGACTAGACTAGACTATAGACTAGACTAGACTAGACTATAGACTAGACTATAGACTAGACTATAGACTAGACTATAGACTAGACTATAGACTAGACTATAGACTAGACTATAGACTAGACTATAGACTAGACTATAGACTAGACTATAGGCTAGACTATAGACTAGACTATAGACTAGAGACTAGCTAGACTAGACTATAGACTAGACTATAGACTAGACTATAGACTAGACTAGACTATAGACTAGACTAGACTATAGACTAGACTAGACTAAGACTAGACTATAGACTAGACTAGACTATAGACTAGACTATAGACTAGACTATAGACTAGACTATAGACTAGACTAGACTAGACTATAGACTAGACTATAGACTAGACTATAGACTAGACTATAGACTAGACTATAGACTAGACTATAGACTAGACTATAGACTAGACTATAGACTAGACTATAGACTAGACTATAGACTAGACTATAGACTAGACTATAGACTAGACTATAGACTAGACTATAGACTAGACTATAGACTAGACTATAGACTAGACTATAGACTAGACTATAGACTAGACTACAGACTAGACTATAGACTAGACTACAGACTAGACTATAGACTAGACTCGACTATAGACTAGACTATAGACTAGACTATAGACTAGACTATAGACTAGACTATAGACTAGACTATAGACTAGACTATAGACTAGACTATAGACTAGACTATAGACTAGACTATAGACTAGACTATAGACTAGACTATAGACTAGACTATAGACTAGACTATAGACTAGACTATAGACTAGACTATAGACTAGACTATAGACTAGACTATAGACTAGACTATAGACTAGACTATAGACTAGACTATAGACTAGACTATAGACTAGACTATAGACTAGACTATAGACTAGACTATAGACTATAGACTAGACTAGACTAGACTAGACTAGACTAGACTGGACTGGACTAGACTAGACTAGACTAGACTATAGACTAGACTAGACTAGACTAGACTAGACTAGACTAGACTAGACTAGACTAGACTAGACTAGACTAGACTAGACTAGACTAGACTATAGACTAGACTAGACTAGACTAGACTATAGACTATAGACTATAGACTATAGACTATAGACTATAGACTATAGACTAGACTAGACTATAGACTATAGACTATAGACTAGACTAGACTAGACTAGACTAGACTATAGACTAGACTATAGACTAGACTATAGGCTAGACTAGACTATAGACTAGACTATAGACCTCTGTCAATTTCGGATATAGAAACCTATAGCACTTAGCATAACGAAATATATTTTTCTTTCACCAATTTCCCCAAAAAAAAAGACTTTCTACATAAATTTTTAAAAGCCTCAAAGTTCAAATGATCGTAAATTCTCTGTCATAACGAACAGTGGCACAAGCAATCAATTATTCAATATCTTTAAATAGTTGACTTCTTTCAAACGCCTATTTAAAAAAGATTGTCTGACTCAACATTTTGCAAAACTTGCAACATTCAATAGTTTCACATTAATTGGAAAATTAAAGGCAATTTAATTTATTTGTTAAATGATTTTTTTCCATAAAATACGACCAACAAATAAATCATCAGTAAATTATTAAGAATCTACTATATATGTATATATAGAAATACAATAAAAAAAAACTACGGAAAAAACGTAACTTATAGTGATTTGTTGACACTTTCGTTAAGAAAAATATGTTTGTGTTTAAATAAAATTTCGAACAAAAACGTTTGAGTCTTTTTTTCGCTATAATTAAGACACGAGACTATCAATCATTATAAACAAATAGTTAATAAATTGTTTATAATTTAACAGCAACAGCAATTACAAGAGTTAGTAAACAAATTGCAAAAAAAAAGTTGTATTAAAATTATACAAAATTTTCATTATTTATGAATGAACTTGAAATTGAGCAGTAAAGTGTGAACATTTTATGATTTAAATACTTATTCGTAAAAAATAACAGAAAATTAAAAGCTTTACTGAACTGTAGCTCCAATTAGGAAATTATATAGTTAATCTAAACACAAGTAGAACTGGTTAATTTTAGTGGTTTAAACACCTGAACAAATTATCGAATAATTGGTTACAATCATTCTATTTATCGCTAGCTTTACACTTCCTATGCAAATTAACTTGATATTCTAAATTTCCAGAAATCTTAAAAGACTTCCTATAGAAATCATGCAAGATTTTCTATATAACTGTTTCGCCAGAATTCGTATTGAAATCTCTAGTCTATAGTCTAGTCTATAGTCTAGTCTATAGTCTAGTCTATAGTCTAGTCTATAGTCTCGTCTATAGTCTCGTCTATAGTCTCGTCTATAGTCTAGTCTATAGTCTAGTCTATAGTCTAGTCAACAGTCTAGTCTATAGTCTAGTCTATAGTCTAGTCTATAGTCTAGTCTATAGTCTAGTCTATAGTCTAGTCTATAGTCTAGTCTATAGTCTAGTCTATAGTCTAGTCTATAGTCTAGTCTATAGTCTAGTCTATAGTCTAGTCTAAAGTCTAGTCTATAGTCTAGTCTAAAGTCTAGTCTATAGTCTAGTCTATAGTCTAGTCTAAAGTCTAGTCTATAGTCTAGTCTAAAGTCTAGTCTATAGTCTAGTCTATAGTCTAGTCTAAAGTCTAGTCTATAGTCTAGTCTATAGTCTAGTCTATAGTCTAGTCTATAGTCTAGTCTATAGTCTAAGTCTATAGTCTAGTCTATAGTCTAGTCTATAGTCTAGTCTATAGTCTAGTCTATAGTCTAGTCTATAGTCTAGTCTGTAGTCTAGTCTATAGTCTAGTCTATAGGCTAGTCTATAGTCTAGTCTATAGTCTAGTCTATAGTCTAGTCTATAGTCTAGTCTATAGTCTAGTCTATAGTCTAGTCTATAGTCTAGTCTATAGTCTAGTCTATAGTCTAGTCTATAGTCTAGTCTAGTCTAGTCTATAGTCTAGTCTATAGTCTAGTCTATAGTCTAGTCTATAGTCTAGTCTATAGTCTAGTCTATAGTCTAGTCTATAGTCTAGTCTATAGTCTAGTCTATAGTCTAGTCTATAGTCTAGTCTATAGTCTAGTCTATAGTCTAGTCTATAGTCTAGTCTATAGTCTAGTCTATAGTCTAGTCTATAGTCTAGTCTATAGTCTAGTCTATAGTCTAGTCTATAGTCTAGTCTATAGTCTAGTCTATAGTCTAGTCTATAGTCTAGTCTATAGTCTAGTCTATAGTCTAGTCTATAGTCTAGTCTATAGTCTAGTCTATAGTCTAGTCTATAGTCTAGTCTATAGTCTAGTCTATAGTCTAGTCTATAGTCTAGTCTATAGTCTAGTCTATAGTCTAGGGTCTATAGTCTAGTCTATAGTCTAGTCTATAGTCTAGTCTATAGTCTAGTCTATAGTCTAGTCTATAGTCTAGTCTATAGTCTAGTCTATAGTCTACGTCTATAGTCTAGTCTATAGTCTAGTATATAGTCTAGTCTATAGTCTAGTCTATAGTCTAGTCTATAGTCTAGTCTATAGTCTAGTCTAGTATAGTCTATAGTCTTAGTCTAGTCTAGTCTATAGTCTAGTCTATAGTCTAGTCTATAGTCTAGTCTATAGTCTAGTCTAGTCCTAGTTATATAGTCTAGTCTATAGTCTAGTCTATAGTCTAGTCTATAGTCTAGTCTATAGGTCTAGTCTATAGTCTAGTCTATAGTCTAGTCTATAGTCTAGTCTATAGTCTAGTTATAGTCTAGTCTATAGTCTGTTATAGTCTAGTCTATAGTCTAGTCTATAGTCTAGTCTATAGTCTAGTCTATAGTCTAGTCTATAGTCTAGTCTATAGTCTAGTCTATAGTCTAGTCTATAGTCTAGTCTATAGTCTAGTCTATAGTCTAGTCTATAGTCTAGTCTATAGTCTAGTCTATAGTCTAGTCTATAGTCTAGTCTATAGTCTAGTCTAGTCTATAGTCTAGTCTATAGTCTATCTATAGTCTAGTCTAGTTAGTCTCTAGTCCTATAGTCTAAGTCTATAGTCTAGTCTATAGTCTAGTCTATAGTCTAGTCTACATTCTAGTCTATAGTCTAGTCTATAGTCTAGTCTACATTCTAGTCTATAGTCTAGTCTATAGTCTAGTTTATAGTCTAGTTTATAGTCTAGTCTATAGTCTACTCTATAGTCTAGTTTTATATTCTAGTCTATAGTCTAGTCTAGTCTAGTCTATAGTCTAGTCTAGTCTTATAGTCTAGTCTATAGTCTAGTCTATAGTCTAGTCTATAGTCTAGTATATAGTTTAATCTATAGTCTAGTATATAGTCCAGTCTAGATTTCTTACAGAAAACTCATCAATATTTTCATTTAACTGTTTAATCCATTCTATTTAATACTAATAAATCGTTTTAAAGTTATGCATATTTATAACTGTTTTGGTTTTAGTTCTATGTTAGTTTCTATTTCCATTACATTTCATGACTAATTTCCTAACTTATCCTGACTTTCTTAACATTTCTCTTAATTCATATTTAAAATTTAAACTATTTTCAAAGGTATTGGAGTGGGTCAAGCATTTATGGTTTATATGTTGGGCACTTATTATGAATCGGTATGTGCCCTAATAGCTTATTATTTAGTGGAATCATTTCGTGATCCTTTACCCTGGGCCTATTGTCGTCCACAGTGGGGTAGCAATTGCCTTGATTCAACGCCCACCGATAGAAATGCACTAGATTTGGTTGAGGGTACGGAATTTATAAGTAAAACATTACAAACAAATCTAACAAGTATTGGCAATCTAATGAGAACTTCAGATAATCGTACAATCTCAAGTTCGGAATTATTTTTTGTGTAAGGAGGCTTACTATTCGGAAAATTGTGAAAGGATGTTTTAATATTTTAAATACTTTTTTCAATTGTTTAGCAATGAGGTGTTGCGTGAGAAGCAAAATATTAATGATGGTATTGGCTGGCCCAATTGGGAGTTAGTTTTGGGCCTATTCGTGTCCTGGCTGTGTGTTTTTGGTATTATCAGCAGAGGTGTAAAGAGTTCCGGTAAAGCTTCTTACTTTTTGGCCATTTTCCCTTATGTCATTATGTTGGTGCTGTTGATAAGAGCTGTTACTTTGCCCGGTTCCATAGATGGTATTATTTACTTCATTAAACCCGATTGGAGTAAAATTTTGGATCCTAAGGTAACATTCCAAATTATATATAGTTAACATTTTTCTTTTGTACTAACTTTAACTTCTCCTTTCCCAGGTTTGGTATGCTGCTGTCACCCAATGTTTCTACTCTTTATCTGTGTGCTTTGGCAACATTATCATGTATGCTTCCTATAATAAATTTGGTCATAATGTCCATAGAGATGCCACCATTGTTACTGGTTTGGACACATGCACTTCGCTTTTGGCTGGCTTTACCATTTTTGGTATTTTGGGTCATTTGGCTCATGAGATTGGTACAGATGATATTGGCAGTGTTGTGAAAGGTGGTGCTGGTTTAGCTTTCATTTCATATCCTGATGCTATAGCCAAATTTAAGCAATTGCCTCAAATCTTTTCGGTGCTATTCTTCCTTATGTTGTTTGTATTGGGTATTGGTTCCAATATCGCCATGACTTCTTGCACTGTAACAGCTATAAGAGATAACTTCCCTCAGGCCAAGCAATGGCAATGTGCTTTGGGCATTGCGATAGTTAGTTTTGCCATAGGTTTGGCTTATGTGACACCGGTAAGTGGAATTCTGAAAAATCTTTAAATTTTTTTTCCTTGAAAAAACCAAGCCTAGTCAATAGTATCGTCAGTAGACTACTTAATAGACTTATCTAGACTAGTCTAGTCTATAGTCTAGTCTAGTCTATAGTCTAGTCTATAGTCTAGTCTATAGTCTAGTCTATATCTAGTCTATAGTCTAGTCTATAGTCTAGTCTATAGGTCTAGTCTATAGTCTAGTCTATAGTCTAGTCTATAGTCTAGTCTATAGTAGTCTAGTCTAGTCTAGTCTAGTCTATAGTCTAGTCTATAGTCTAGTCTATAGTCTAGTCTATAGTCTAGTCTATAGTCTAGTCTATAGTCTAGTCTATAGTCTAGTCTATAGTCTAGTCTAAGTTCTAGTCTATATAGTCTTAGTCTATAGTATATAGTCTAGTCTATAGTATAGTCTATAGTCAAGTCTATAGTATAGTCTATAGTCTAGTCTATAGTCTAGTCTATAGTCTAGTCTATAGACTAGTCTATAGTCTAGTATATAGTCTAGTCTATAGTCCAGTCTATAGTCTAGTCTATAGTCTAGTCTATAGTCTAGTCTATAGTCTAGTCTATAGTCTAGTCTATAGTCTATTTTCTATAGTCCAGTCTATAGTCTAGTCTAGTCTAGTCTATAGTCTAGTCTATAGTCTAGTCTATAGTCTAGTCTATAGTCTAGTCTATAGTCTAGTCTATAGTCTAGTCTATAGTCTAGTCTATAGTCTAGTCTATAGTCTAGTCTATAGTCTAGTCTATAGTCTAGTCTATAGTCTAGTCTATAGTCTAGTCTATAGTCTAGTCTATAGTCTAGTCTATAGTCTAGTCTATAGTCTAGTCTATAGTCTAGTCTATAGTCTAGTCTATAGTCTAGTCTATAGTCTAGTCTATAGTCTAGTCTATAGTCTAGTCTATAGTCTAGTCTATAGTCTAGTCTATAGTCTAGTCTATAGTCTAGTCTATAGTCTAGTCTATTGTTTATAGTCTACTCTATAGTGTAGACTATAGTCTAGTCTATGGTCTAGTCTATAGTCTAATCTATAGTCCAGTCTATATTCTAGTCTAAAATCTAGTCTATAGTCTAAAGTCTAGTCTATAGTCTATAGTCTAAAGTCTAGTCTATAGTATAGTCTAAAGTCTAATCTATAGTCTATCCTATAGTCTATTCTATAGTTTAGTCTTTAGTCTATTCTATCGTTCAGTCTATAGTCTAGTCTGTAGTCTAGACTTTAGACGATACCTTAGTCTATAGTCTATTCTATTGTCTAGTCTATAGTCTATTCTATAATCTAGTCTATAGTATAGACAATAGTTTAGTCTATAGTCTAGTCTATAATATAGTCTATTGTCTAGTCTATAGCGTAGCCTATAGTTTAGTCTATAGTCTAGTCTATATTATAGTCTATAGTCTAGCATATAGTCTAGTATATGGTATAGTCTATAATTTAGTCCAATCATCTATTAAAATTATTTCTTAATTGTGTTTTCTTTTTCTTTCTACAGGGAGGACAATTTATTTTGACTTTGGTGGACTATTTCGGTGCCTCTATGATTGCCTTAGTTTTGGGCATTGCTGAATTATATTGTTTAGGATGGGTTTATGGTGTGGATCGTTTGTGCAAAGATGCAGAGTTTATGATGGGACGCAAAGTAGGACCCTACTGGCGTTGGTGTTGGGCTGTTGTTACCCCCTTAATCATGACTGTTATATTGATATATTTCCTTTCCACCTATACACCTTTAACCTATAATGGTGTTAATTATCCCAATTGGGCCTATGGTAAGTACAATCAAACTTCAATACGATCTATACGTTTATTAATAAATTGTTTCCCTTTTTAGCCATTGGCTGGACTATCACCTGTTTTGGTGTTTTACAATTACCCATTTGGGTAGTAGTGGCAGCCATACGTACACCCGGTGCTACATGGGGTGAAAAACTACGTGGTGCTTTTAAACCCAAACATGACTGGGGACCCACCGATCCTTTGCTAAGAGAGCAATACAATAAAGAAATTGCTAATGAAGCAATAGCTAATGAAGGCTTAGGTTGTTGGGGTTCCATTAAGAAAAACATATTTGGCTGAATTTATATTTAAATGAAAACAACTCAGCTTTAAAGTATTATTAACTAAAAAAAAACAGACAAATTTAGTAGTAGTTTTAAATTAAATTAAGCTAAAAGTGATTTAAGTTAAATTAAAAAAAGATAACTTGCCAAATGTTAATAAGAAAAAGCTATAGATTTTTGTTAAACATAACTGTACTTATTTATAAGAATATAAACTGTAAAGTATTGTTGTATAAAAAATAGCTTTAATTTATTACAAAAAAAATGTACATAAAATATTTTTAATAATAATAAAAAAACAAATTTTTTTAAAAAATTTTCTACAGGTTATACCTTTTCTTTATTTTGAGACTTAAATAAACTTGCCAGCAGCCTCATCGAGAAGAAGGTGGACTTGATTGTTGTGGGGTTTTACCATACCAGCTGGTAAATTTTCTTTATCTTTGAAAATGCGCTGGAAAGGGAGAGAAAATTAAATGTTATTTGAACATACATATATGTATATAGAATATATTTTTCTATTCCATCGAGTAGACTATAGTCGAGAGAGTCTTATCTATAGTCTATAGTGTAGTCTAGTCTATAGTTTAGTCTGTATTCTAGTCTATACTATAGTTTGTAGTCCAGTTTATAGATTTGTCTGTAGTCTAGTCTATAGCTTAGTCTAGTCTATAGCATTGTCTAGTCTAGTCTAGTCTATAGTCTAGTATATAGTCTCGTCTATAGTCTAGTCTATAGTCTAGTTTATAGTCTAGTCTATAGTCTAGACTATACACTAGTCTATAGTCTAGTCTATAGTCTAGACTATAGTCTAGTCTGTCGTCTAGACTATTGTCTAATCTATAGTCTAGTTTACAGTATAGTCTATAGTTTAGTCTATAGTAAAGTCTACAGTATAGTCTAAAGTCTAGTCTATAGTATAGTTTATAGTCTAGTCTATAGTCTAGTCAATGGTCTAGTCTAGTGTATAGTCTAGTCTATATTCCAGTCTATTGTATAGTCTATAGTATAGTCCATAGTCTAGTGTATAGTCTATTCTATATCTAGTCTATAGCCAAGTCTATCGTCTATTCTATAGTCTATTCTATAGTCTAGTTTATAATCTAGTCTAAGGTCTAGTCTATAGTCTAGTCTATAGTCTAGTCTATAGTCTAGTCTATAGTCTAGTCTATAGTCCAGTCTATAGTCTAGTCTATAGTCTAGTCTATAGTCTAGTCTATAGTCTAGTCTATAGTCTAGTCTATAGTCTAGTCTATAGTCTAGTCTATAGTCTAGTCTAGTCTACAGTCTAGTCTAGTCTATAGTCTAGTCTATAGCCAAGTCTATGGTCTATTCTATAGTTTATTCTATAGTCTAGTTTATAATCTATTCTAAGGTCTAGTCTGTAGTCTAGTCTATAGTCTAGTCTATAGTCTAGTCTATAGTCTAGTCTATAGTCTAGTCTATAGTCTAGTCTATAGTCTAGTCTATAGTCTAGTCTATAGTCTAGTCTATAGTCTAGTCTATAGTCTAGTCTATAGTCTAGTCTATAGTCTAGTCTATAGTCTAGTCTATAGTCTAGTCTATAGTCTAGTCTATAGTCTAGTCTATAGTCTAGTCTAGTCTAGTCTATAGTCTAGTCTATAGTCTAGTCTATAGTCTAGTCTATAGTCTAGTCTATAGTCTAGTCTATAGTCTAGTCTATAGTCTAGTCTATAGTCTAGTCTATAGTCTAGTCTATAGTCTAGTCTATAGTCTAGTCTATAGTCTAGTCTATAGTCTAGTCTATAGTCTAGTCTATAGTCTAGTCTATAGTCTAGTCTATAGTCTAGTCTATAGTCTAGTCCTATAGTCTAGTCTATAGTCTAGTCTATAGTCTAGTCTATAGTCTAGTCTATAGTCTAGTCTATAGTCCTAGTCTATAGTCTAGTCTATAGTCTAGTCTATAGTCTAGTCTATAGTCTAGTCTATAGTCTAGTCTATAGTCTAGTCTATAGTCTAGTCTATAGTCTAGTCTATAGTCTAGTCTATAGTCTAGTCTATAGTCTAGTCTATAGTCTAGTCTATAGTCTAGTCTATAGTCTAGTCTATAGTCTAGTCTATAGTCTAGTCTATAGTCTAGTCTATAGTCTAGTCTATAGTCTAGTCTATAGTCTAGTCTATAGTCTAGTCTATAGTCTATAGTCTAGTCTATAGTCTAGTCTATAGTCTAGTCTATAGTCTAGTCTATAGTCTAGTCTATAGTCTAGTCTATAGTCTAGTCTATAGTCTAGTCTATAGTCTAGTCTATAGTCTAGTCTATAGTCTAGTCTATAGTCTAGTCTATAGTCTAGTCTATAGTCTAGTCTAGTCTAGTCTATAGTCTAGTCTATAGTCTAGTATATACTCTAGTCTATAGTCTAGTCTATAGTCTAGTCTATAGTCTAGTCTATAGTCTAGTCTATAGTCTAGTCTATAGTCTAGTATATGCTCTAGTCTATAGTCTAGTATATAGTGTAGTCTATAATCTAGTCTATAGTCTAGTCTATAGTCTATTCTATAGTCTAGTCTATAGCCAAGTCTATGGTCTATTCTATAGTTTATTCTATAGTCTAGTCTATAATCTAGTTTAAGGTCTAGTCTGTAGTCTAGTCTATAATCTAGTCTATAGTGTAGTCTATAGTGAAGTCTATAGGCTAGTCTATAGTGTAGTCTATAGTCTAGTCTATAGTCTACAGTCTAGTCTATAGTCTATAGTGTAGTCGGTACTCACCTTAACAATATCCGCCTTACCCTCACCACACATCACAAACATACACATTTTAGCATTGTTAATCAAAGGGAATGTCATCGTGACCCGTTTGGGTGGTAGTTTAGGTGAGTTATCTATAGCAGCTATTAAATGATCCTTCTCTTTTAGCAAAGGATGTTGAGGAAATAATGAGCAAGTATGACCATCTGGTCCCATGCCTAAAATAAGTAAATCAAATTGTGGTATATCGCCGCTTTTCATGTCGAACTCCTTTAAAATCTTTTCCTCATAATCTTGAGCACATTCCTTTAACGTGAGATTTGTATCAATTCCAATAAATTGTTCTTCTTTTAAAGCGGTTTTGGGTAGTAGAGTAGTTTTGTACACACCACTTGTAGAATCTTTATCCGTTTCGGGTACAAATCTTTCATCACAAAAGAAAAACTTAAACTTATCTAAATTCATTTTAGTTTCTGCTAAAGCTGTGGCCAAATAGTTGACAACAGAGCCACCTGTGAATTGATGAAAAATCATTTCAATTAAAATGTTAATTCATTGTTAACCTTTAATGGACAAGGTCACTTTCTAATTTTAGTTTTGTACTCACCTGATACTCCCAAACGAAACACGCCATTATTTTCAATAGCCTCTTGAGATTTTTCCGCCAGCATGCTGCCCAGCAAAGCAATTACCTCCTTTTCACTTTGGACTTTATGTAAATGCATTTTTCTATTAATAGATTTGTGTGTAAAATTAATGAATTTAAAAAAAAAATAAACACCGGTATTTAATAAAACTGCTTTTTCAAGTGCAATTTTGCAGCAAAATTCAATGAATTACTGCAATTTGGTTTTTTGTTTTGACAATCAGCTGTGTAATGTTTTTGACATGTTGGTTTTTAAAGCTCTAATTTGAATAAGCTTTTTTAGAAAAAGCTTTGATTAAAAAATTGTTAAATATTTATATAATAGATGGCGCTATGAGTGTTAAATGAAGTACACATTTTAATGGCTCAGACAGTGTTGCCAGAATAATTTTGATTCAAGTTCCCAATCTAAGGTCAGAAGTCCCTAAAAAATCCAAATTTTTATATTGAAATCGTCATAGTTTGCCCAAATGAGAATTATTCGCTTCCTTTTTTACATTCTCATTCACTTTGACATTCGCAAAATTTTAGCGAATGTTTAAGAGAATACTATTTCTAAACAAAACTAAACGAAAAACTAAATCCCCATTTCTGGCGACACTAGGCGCAGATAAGAATGTTTTAAAATGTCCAGTGGTTTTCAAACTGTTTTGATAACGTTTAAAGAAACCAGTGTTGCCAGTTGTTGCTATGATGGCGCTTTTTATGTCTTCAATAGGAATTGACTTCGACAACTTTTTTTGGCTTTATACCAAATTATGTATAGAACCACTACAAAACAGATTTGAAACTGTTATACTAAAATGTTCTATTAAAAAATTGCTAATAACAGATTTTTCATTAAAAAAATGTTATATCTGAACTGAAAAACTATTATGCACAAATTTTTAAAAAGATTTTTTAATGAAAAAGATTGTTATACCCGAAATATTTCTACAGAAAAAAGTTACATACAGGAAAACTGTTATACAGTTATTATCCATACAATAAAACTTTGATGCACAGACTTATGTACATATGTATATGTATGTAAAAAAAAACTTTTATAAACAGACAATGAGAAAACTATTATACCCGAAATTTTACAACAGAAAAACTATTACACTAAGATTTTTCTAAAGAAAAACTGCTATACAGGGAATCTTCTATAGAAACTTCTATTATGTACAGATTTTTCTTTTCAGTTATATACAGTCAGTTATGTGATTAGACTGGACTATAGACTAGACTATAGACTAGACTATAGACTAGACTAGACTATAGACTAGACTAGACTATAGACTAGACTATAGACTAGACTATAGACTAGACTATAGACTAGACTATAGACTAGACTATAGACTAGACTATAGACTAGACTATAGACAAGACTATAGACTAGACTATAGACTAGACTATAGACTAGACTATAGACTAGACTATAGACTAGACTATAGACTAGACTATAGACTAGACTATAGACTAGACTATAGACTAGACTATAGACTAGACTATAGACTAGACTATAGACTAGACTATAGACTAGACTATAGACTAGACTATAGACTAGACTATAGACTAGACTATAGACTAGACTATAGACTAGACTATAGACTAGACTATAGACTAGACTATAGACTAGACTATAGACTAGACTATAGACTAGACTATAGACTAGACTATAGACTAGACTAGACTAGACTATAGACTAGACTATAGACTAGACTATAGACTAGACTATAGACTAGACTATAGACTAGACTATAGACTAGACTATAGACTAGACTATAGACTAGACTATAGACTAGACTATAGACTAGACTATAAGACTAGACTAGACTATAGACTATAGACTATAGACTATAGACTAGACTATAGACTAGACTATAGACTAGACTATAGACTAGACTATAGACTAGACTATAGACTAGACTATAGACTAGACTATAGACTAGACTATAGACTAGACTATAGACTAGACTATAGACTAGACTATAGACTAGACTATAGACTAGACTATAGACTAGACTATAGACTAGACTATAGACTAGACTATAGACTAGACTATAGACTAGACTATAGACTAGACTATAGACTAGACTATAGACTAGACTATAGACTAGATAGACTAGACTATAGACTAGACTATAGACTAGACTATAGACTAGACTATAGACTAGACTATAGACTAGACTATAGACTAGACTATAGACTAGACTATAGACTAGACTATAGACTAGACTATAGACTAGACTATAGACTAGACTATAGACTAGACTATAGACTAGACTATAGACTAGACTATAGACTAGACTATAGACTAGACTATAGACTAGACTATAGACTAGACTATAGACTAGACTATAGACTAGACTATAGGACTAGCTATAGACTAACGATAGACTAGACTATAGACTAGACTATAGACTAGACTCGACTAGACTATAGACTAGACTATAGACTAGACTATAGACTACTTAACTAGACTATAGACTAGACTATAGACTAGACTATAGACTAGACTATAGACTAGACTATAGACTAGACTATAGACTAGACTATAGACTAGACTATAGACATCTAGACTATAGACTAGACTATAGACTAGACTATAGACTGACTATAGAACTTACTATAGACTAGACTATAGAACTAGACTATAGACTAGACTATAGACTAGACGACTATAGACTAGACTATAGACTAGACTATAGACTAGACTATAGACTAGACTATAGACTAGACTATAGACTAGACTATATGACTAGACATAGACTACTAGACTAGACTATAGACTAGACTATAGACTAGACTATAGATAGACTAGACTAGACTAGACTATAGACTAGACTATAGACTAGACTATAGACTAGACTATAGACTAGACTATAGACTTAGACTACTATAGACTAGACTATAGACTAGGACTATATACTAGACTATAGACTAGACTATAGACTAGACTTGGACTAGACATAGACTAGACTATAGACTATAGACTAGACTATAGACTAGACTATAGACTAGACTATAGACTAGACTATAGACTAGACTATAGACTAGACTATAGACTAGACTATAGACTAGACTATAGACTAGACTATAGACTAGACTATAGACTAGACTATAGACTAGACTATAGACTAGACTATAGACTAGACTATAGACTAGACTATAGACTAGACTATAGACTAGACTATAGACTAGACTATAGACTAGACTATAGACTAGACTATAGACTAGACTATAGACTAGACTATAGACTAGACTATAGACTAGACTATAGACTAGACTATAGACTAGACTATAGACTAGACTATAGACTAGACTATAGACTAGACTATAGACTAGACTATAGACTAGACTATAGACTAGACTATAGACTAGACTATAGACTAGACTATAGACTAGACTATAGACTAGACTATAGACTAGACTATAGACTAGACTATAGACTAGACTATAGACTAGATTATAGACTAGACTATAGACTAGACTATAGACTAGACTATAGACTAGACGATAGACTAGACTATAGACGATATAGACTAGACTATAGACTAGACGATAGACTAGACTATAGACTAGATATAGACTAGACTATAGACTAGACTATAGACTAGACTATAGACTAGACGATAGACTAGACTATAGACTAGACTATAGACTAGACTATAGACTAGACTATAGACTAGACGATAGACTAGACTATAGACTAGACTATAGACTAGACTATAGACTAGACTATATACTAGACATAGACTAGACTATAGACTAGACTATAGACTAGACATATACTAGACTATAGACTAGACTATAGACTAGACTATAGACTAGACTATAGACTAGACTATAGACTAGACTATAGACTAGACTATAGACTAGACTATAGACTAGACTATAGACTA